AATTAGGTATTGTTTTCGTGACTACCAGTAAATCAGTAATATGAGATGTATTTACCCAATTTCGTTTAAGATGATGAAGGACTGGCAGAACAAGAATTTTCCCACAATAATATGAGTAGAGCTGACGCTTCCATTTAATTTCACATAGCTTTGCTTTCCCAAAAGTTGCTCTCATCCAGAATGGACTGCAGGTTCGACCTCGCCTCGGTCTTATCAACACCCTCAGCGGGAGTCGAACCTGGATGAGAACAACTTTTGGGAAAGCAAGATTATGTGAAATTCAATGTAAATATCAGCTCAACTGATATCATTGTGGGGAAATTCTTCTTCTACCAGTTGTTGATCACCTTAAACGAAATTGGGTAAATAATTCTCATATTGAGAAATTATACTTTACGAATGCTCAGCTTGGGTTCATTTGGGTCATAGGACGATGAGTTGATGACTTATTCGCACAATATGACATTCTTTACTCATTCTTTGGCTTCCCGGGAGCCAATTCACTAATTTCTTCACATCAATTTTGTGCTCGGAATAAAAACTCGAGAAATATCAATTCAGTGGCATAGCGGTCTTCATGCTTTAGGGCTAAATTAGATATCTTTAAGATGATGCTCAAAACTCTGCGCAAGAAGGTCGTCCTAGAGCACACATACTCGTGGACACGGAAGCCTAGTGATAAGCTTCGAGCTTCTTCCTGCCTTAAAATGAGCTTAAAAATACCTCGTTTGCTTGCATAATTTCACCACCATTGTGTGGGCCTCTAGCAGGTATCAGGTTGGTACTACCTCTTGAACGAGGCTACTGGTCGAAAGAAGCACCTAAAGGCTGGCTTTGAGGCCGTCTCCTCCATCGGCCTGATTGGCACCAACTCTTCACCAACCATCGCCTCGGGTCTTGAGCTTGTCGGCAAGATTGGAATCTCTTCTGAGTCGGCCGTCTCGTCCACCGCTGTCGGTATCGATACGACCAATCCATCTGGCAGACCAGCGCATTTCGGCCTTGTAAGCTGTGGCGGAGTCGAGCGCACGACAATGAGTCCCGACTGTGGAGGAGTTGCTGCCTATCCCGCCGTGCTTCTTCAAGCGGCTCCGCACACGGCAGCCACCTCAGCCTGCACTACTTCGTTGTTGGCCCATTCTGAGGCCTATCGAACAGACGAAAACATGTACCGACATGATCATCAAGGTCAGCACCACCAGACTCGCTGTCATCAGCAACAGCAACAGCAGTACAATCCCGCGGTCCTGGAGAGACCAGTATACCTGCCGCCTCCTGCACCGCCGGCCCCTCAGCCCGGTGGAAGTACATTATCCGTGGCCTCAACGACCACGGGCAAGCAGGCCAACGGATGGCCTGGTACTTACTGGCATCCTGGCCGAGGGCCAGCTGTGATGGTGGGATCAGGTGAACTCCTTCGAGCAGCCAGGCTGCCCATGGTACAGACTCCCGCTACGCCCTCTCACCCTTTGCCTGTTTGCGGCCCCATTCATGCATCCTCAACTCCATATACAGGTTCGATTTCACGCCAGATGCTATTATCACAGCCCTATCCTTCATACAGTCTTCACTCCATCTCTGCACCCCTGCCGCCGGCTCCGCATACCATTCATTCCTCCTCGTCCCTTCCGCCCACTCCCATGCCGACCGGTCAATTGCAGATGCAGATACAGTTTCCGACCTCCGGGCAGTCGGTGAAAAAGCATTTCCCACATCACTTGGCAGTCTATCCGTATCCAGGGCCGCAGCAGCAACACTTCCGTTCGATTCCAGAGACAAATCAGCTTTTAAGCAATATGCAAGTCTTTCAGGTGAGTCCAGCTCGTTTGTTAAATGTCGCTTTTTGTTGCACCATGAAGGGGGAGAGCTCAAATGCTTTTTGAGAAATTTTGCTATTTTGTCCCAGTTAATGTACGCGCAAACTGGTTGCCCAAACATATTCTACATCACCACATAATTTTGCACTTTAGAAAAATTATGAATTTATCCACCTCACCAGTTTTGCCTAAGTCGGAGACATTCAGCCTTAAATCCACTATATTAGCAACTTTCCTAATAGATGCGCCGGATCAGCTAGAACACTAATAACTCTTCAAGTGAACAGCTTCCATCTCCAACTATACTCAATATTCCTATCTTCCTTCATACAAAGTCAATTACGGCATAAGAAACGAGATGCTATGAAATATAGGATGACTAGATCAAATCCGTTTCAGCTAAATCTAAGTTTTTGCCTAGTCGCAAGCAGGCGCAACCATCAACTATTTCCCTGAATACTTATAACACATGTATTAGCCCTATTTCGTTAATGCAATGATGGACTGGTAGTTGAATTTCCCCATAATGACATGAATAGACCTTACGTTTCTTTTAAATTTTACCTATTCTTATTTCTCAAAAGTTATACTCATCCAAGGTGGACGGCAGTTTAGAGTTGTCTAGGGTTCATCTAAGTGAAATTCA